TCCTCTGTCAGGCTCCAAAGCTCTGCCTGGAGAGGAGATCTACTCGGTTGTGGGTGTGAATTTCTTCCCTGCTGCTAATTTGAAAAAGCATAAACAGCACCATCCTACAGCCCAGGACTGAGCCAGCCGCGTAGACCCCCCCCATTCGCCTCTGTTATTAGCATAGGCGCCTTTTATTCCGATGGCATATTAATTGCATCTTTTGCTCTGCGGTTTATTAGCACAATTATAGGCCTTTGCTCCCCGTTCTTCCACCGACCTGCCTCCCCTCCGTGTTATTTCTCCGGAAGGATGTTCGGCAGTCCCACCGAAGCTCAGAGCATAGCCTTGTTATTAATTAATTAAGGAATAATACAACTCCTCAATGAGGCCCTTTCTCCTGCAGAGAGAAACGAAGCATTTGTCATACTAAAAAAAAAGAGTTGTTTTTTTTTTTAAAAAAAAACAGAACGTGGGATTCCCTCCCTCAGGCGTGATTGATGAATCCCCTTGTCCTTTGCACCCACGGGATCCACCCCAACACCCTGACAAGCAAGAACTTGAGCCCCAAAGCTCGCACGGCTTCCAATGGGGAGGCATGGCTGCCTGTGCAGTTGTTAATTTAACTGCAACGAAGTTGAAATCCTGGTTAGAAGATGGCCTGTTATGCCCACGGAATCCAACCCCGGCGCTCAGTCCTGGATCCAAAGGAAATGAAATGATCCAAACGAAAGAATCTCAAAGGAGGGTCCTTGGTTCTCTGAACTGAGCACTGATGATGTTACCTAGTTGGGTAATGAAACGTCTGCAAGAAAACCACCAAGCTCAGCCAGTACCCAGGACCCCATAATCCTCTTCCTCCTCCTCTTCACAAACCACACTCCCTTCTAACACTGATGATGTTATCTGGTTTGGTCATGAAACGTCTGCAAGAAAACCACGATGCTCAGCAAGCACCAAGGACCCCCCAGTCATCCCCCCTCCTCTTCACAAACCCCACTCCCTTCTAGCACTGATGATGTTCCCTAGCTTGGTCATGAAACGTCTGCAAGAAAGCCACCAAGCTCAGAGAGCACCAAGGACCCCTCATGTCAACCCTGAGCTAGAAATATTCTCCTTTATTAGAATCACCCATGTCCAGAATTTGCTCGAAGACCACCAGAGAAGTGAAGCTGAGGCCTTTTCTCAAGTCCCCGTGAAGCTGCTCTATCAGGAAACTATTATTTGATTTCCTACCATTTAATATTAGGAAATTATTCACGGCCTTCAGCCTATTTGAAACCTTATTCCATGACATGGACGTGAGACCAGGAGCTAATTTTTTTCTGACCTCCCTTTTGATGGCCTGTTTCTTCAATCTCCCTTCATTTCCCCTGACCATCTCAGTGGTCCTTTGTGGAACACGTTGGGAGGTTGGTCCATAATTATATTGGTGACTTTTAAAGGGATTTTAATGTAACTTCAGCCTTGCTGGATTGGAGCAAATTACCCACCCGGCCCTATTCCAATCAAACCAGTTTCTGGATTGTGGAATAATAAAGGGGATTTCTTCCGGTTAGCCTGCTGTAGGAAGGACACCGTTTTGGATTAAACCAAATCAAATAGTCCGATTTACTTGAAGGACTTTCTTGTGTAGCGTTTCCCCCCCCTCCCCGATTCCGTTTTAGTAATAGAAGCGCATCATCCTTCAAGGGAACAGAAAGATGCTACCCAAGAGGAAACAGAAATTGAAGCCTATCAGGTGAACAAAATAACACTGCAGGAGGAGGAGGAAGGGAAAATGTCCAGCCCAAATCTGGCATTGCGCGCTGCCTAGAAAAACACCATCTGGGTTTATTCGATCTGGCTCCTTTTAAGTAATTGGCTCCCTGCCAAGCTAATGTGGGAGAACGGCACAGAGCCGGAGGAACAATCTTCCTCGCCCACCCGCCCAAGACGAGGCCCGTTGGGAAATGGCAGCCTGGCTAATTTGCAGCCCTGAAAACATCTGGCAAGTGGAACAAGCCGTGTGTGGAGACAAGGGGTGTTTCTCAAAGGGACCCACCCGGGCCGGGGAAGGTTGGCATCGGGCAAGGCTCCTGTGGCGGATCCTGGATGGGCACAAACTGCACCGCCCAGAGCTAGTAGGGAAAAGTTTGGGAGGAAGCTGGCTGTTTGCAGGATATAAATCGTTGTTTGGGGTCTGGGGGGGAGGAGTGCCAGGGCAAGGGGACCCTGGACGCCTTAATGAGGACTCACCGCTTTGGGCTGACTGGGAATATTACTTTAGGCAGGGAGGAACGAGGGCATGGCTGGTGGGCGGGTCTCTTGGAAAGCATTCCCCTTGCAACATTTTTGGGCGTCTCCACCTGCAAATGTTCAAAAAGGCGCAACCTGAGGAGTCCTTGGCGCTCTCTCAGCTGGGTGGTTTTCTTGCAGACGTTTTGTTACCTAACTAGGTAACATCATCAGTGCTAGAAGGGAGTGGGGTTTGCAGAATGGAGGAGGAGGAGGATGATTATGGGGTCCTTGGTGCTCTCTAAGCTTGGTGGTTTTCTTGTGGATGTTTCATTACGCAACTAGGTAACATCATCAGTGCTAGAAGGGAGTGGGGTTTGCAGAATGATGGTGGAGGAGGAGGAGGATGATTATGGGGTCCTTGGTGCTCTCTGAGCTTAGTGGTTTTCTTGCAGACGTTTCATGACCCAACTAGGTAACATCATCCATGCTAGAAGGGAGTGGGGTTTGCAGAGCAGAAGAGAAAGAGGATTATGGGGTCCTTGGTGCTCTCTGAGCTTGGTGGTTTTCTTGCAGATGTTTCATGACCCAAACTAGGCAACATTGTGAGTGCACTCCTCCTCCCACAACCCCACTACCTTTTAGATCTTCTGCCCTCTCCATCCCCCACCCCCCCAGTAAATTCTGCTTTTGTCATCGATGAACACAAAAAACGAGATACACAGAAGAGCTCTTAAATCTGTATTTTCCCACCCCTTCAAGGTACATTTTAGCCCTCCAGAAGTTTTTTAAAAAACAGAGACACTCACTTTGTTTTTCTTAGCCGTTTGGAAACGCCGAGCACACACCACAGCCTACAGCCACATTGCCTATTCAACCCATCCAGACACCAGATTGAGCCGTCAATGGGCTTTCTTGAGGGCCATTTCCCCCCCTCCCACCCCACCGAGGACGTTTATACCACTGGCAACGATCCTAGGTTGGCACCAGTTGTTCAGCATCTCATCCCTATACGACACAGAAGGACAGCACTGGAAAAAAGGGCCGGGACAGAGTGAGTAGCCTTTTTAAACTGCTTTACAAATGGATTTTGGAACAGGAGGCCAGCAGCAGGCAGAAGCGCAGTGCAGCTTTTTGGGGGGGGGGGGGAGGAAACCCGTCAACAGAATTAAGAGCAATGTTTAAAGAGAGCATTATTGAGGATGGAGAGGGGGGTACGCTGAGTTTTGGGAAGAGCACCACCGAAGAGTATTAAAAATAAGTTAACAAAGCAAAACAAACAACACCAGGCGGTGATGGAATCTTAAGCTGGTCCTGTCCACAAAACCACAGTCCAAATTGTACCATTTATTGAAAAGGAGGGTGAGACACAAACATCAGTTTGATGCTCTGGGGAAGACAATTTCCTATAACACCAGGAAGACAATCTGGAGTCTCTACAGTGTGGAAAACAGGTATGGCCTGGAAAAAAAAGAATTTGTCCTTTTCAAGAGCTGGCCTTCTGCGTCCATATATTTTTTTTTAACAAAAAAAGACCCCCCCAAAAATATCTAACTTTCTAGAAGCACTTACAATTTTACTGAAAAGGTCACCTATATTTTTATTGTGGATTTCCCCAGGGGACCACCCTTGGCACCCAAGAAATGAAGCTTCATTTGCACCCCCCTGCAAATCAATTCTCCTTTTCTCCTAGTGTTTCTCAACCTTGGCAACTTTAAGATGTCTGGACTTCAACTCCCAGGATTCCCCAGCCAGCAGTGCTGCCTTTCTGCGAGGAAAGACGTGGATGAAGGAGCTTTGGGGGGATCCTAATACTCTGGTCTATAACTAATACTGCAAATTGGTTCTACCACCTGGAGCCACGGAGAGTAGATTTCGTTCCCCCCCCAAAAGCAAGCTCAGAAATTAGATCGATCGCTAACCAGCAAAACAGGTCCGAACCCATTAATGCCTGCAAGAGTGTCAGCAAATCTCCTGAGTAAAAACATGGTTTCTTGGGTTTTTTTTGTTTTTTTTTTAAATTGGAGATTCAATCTCTCATCTCTAGGCTTTTGAGCGCTTCCTTCCAGCCTGAAGACACTCCAGAAAAAGAGGAATTTCTGAGGGAGGGTGGAAATGTTAGGGGAAAGTCAGCCCTGAATGCTGGCTTCTTCGGAAAGGCAAGCAAGCTTATAATAAATAGAGGCAAAGGTCTGCTTCTCCCACGGTCTCAAGAAATTGCAACGGCGATAACTAAAACACACAGATCCCCCTCTTCCCCGCCATCCCTCCCCCTCAAGATTCCAGCAAAAAGGAAACACTGACCTCAGCAAAACATCTACAAGCCTCGTCCAGTTGCCCATGACCAAGCCCCTTCTCCAAAAATACACAAGCCTGACCTACATAAGCACTGAAGCCTGAAGGCTTGGCAAACGGGACCGTCAGCAACCATTCATAAAAAGAAAAAGAAAGCAAAATTAAACGAGGGGGTAGGGGTGGGCTGTCGAGTTCTCTGAATCTGCCAATCAGTTCGCTTTTTACGGGTGGAGGCGTGGGTGGGTGGGTGAAGCCAATCCTAAACACATTCCCGGAGTTTTATCCTGGATCGGGCGACAAACCTAGGGCGCCAAAAAGAAGGGAACCGAACCCCGAGGGCTGTGAAACGCATTCAGGAGGCTGGAGAGGAGAGGCAAAGAATTTAGAGCAGGGAGAAGCTGTTGTGAGGCCACAACAACGTTAGGAGAGGGCAAAGGGACTGAGGGAGGGGGGGTCCTCTCATCTTTTTCAACTGCCCAGCACGTTGTTTGCCCCTTTTTCCAGTTCTATATATATATAGCACCAAGAGCCGGTCCAGTTACTGTCTTCTGTCTTCGGTCTCTGATCTGGAAAATGCCATCACGCCGTCCTCGGCACCTGCAACACACAAAAATGAGGAAAGAGGTTGGCTTCTTTTGTCGAGCGCCAACAATGAGGGTAACGGTCTGGATGCCTTTGGACTGGGTCTCACAAAGGCTCGGCCAACACGCCCCCCCCCAAACTGGGAATTCTGGGAACTGTCGTTTCCTCCTAGGCCAGACAGGCATTGCACAAAACTGGGGGAAACGCGGCCTTCGCGCTGCTCAATAGATCTAAGTGATTTTTAAAAAGCATCCTTAGCCTTCATTCAAGTCTGGAGTAAATAGTTGTGGATCTCATGCATAGCAAGGTAAATGCTGCGGCATCTGCTTTGACGCAGCCTGTGCATATGGAGCTAACGTAGGCACGACAACTGCACACAATCCACGTCCTCACCATTATTGTGAGAGGCTCTCCAACCTCCAGGGGATTTTCTCCCTTTACAACTTTGGGCTTTGTGGAATGGCTGTGTTGTTCAGTCCTAAGTCTACCTGCCCAGACTATGTTTGCATCTCAGCTCTGCGCTCCCCAAGGGATCCGGCTTCTGCTAGAACCAACTTAGCTCTATTGCTATAGCAACCAGAGCTGCCAGAGCCACCAAAGGTTGGCCCTGCCACTTCAGAGGAAACCATCCAGGATTCCAGCCGCCCTGGGAAGGAGCCGGCAGCTCTGCCCGACTCCAGCCTTCCCGTTCGTTTCACAAACAAACATACACTTGGATGTGCCCCAGGTACTCCTAGTGAGAAGTGTAAAGCAGCATTATTGGAACAGCCTCTTTTTTGCTCTCTCTTTAACAGGCAGAGAGCTAATGCAGAGAAGATCAAAACAGGTTGGGAAGGAAGGAAGGAAGGAAGGAAGGAAGGAAGGAAGGAAGGAAGGAAGGAAGGAAGGAAGGAAAGGATGGATGGAGGTTGCAGGTCTGTGCTTCTCAAGATGGACAGTGTTTAATATTCATTTATTGTGTATATATAGGGGTGTGGGTCTATCTATACACATGTTGTATATAGTATGTTTAGGTGTGTGTCACGTACGTGTTCACTTTGAGAGCGGGCAACTAAATTTCATTTTTGATGTGTGCCATTGCACCCACAGTTTAAAAAATTACAATATAGGCTATCTTATCTTATCTTATCTTATCTACACCTCGGCCCCGCTGTTTGGAACTTCTGAGCCAGGTCAAAAGAGTGATCCCGAAGCCTTAGATCAGGGGTCTTCAAACTTGGCCCTTTTATGACTTGTGGACTTCAACTCCCAGAATTCCTCAGCCAGGCACTTTAGGAATTTTGCCCATCAACTACCAACCGGAGGAAAGCGGAAAGCTGACTCTTCGGCAGCAGGGAAAAAGCTGTTTCTATCAACTGCAGCCGAACCAGCCCTAGTGGAAATAACCTTGGGGAACAGCCATAGAAGGGCAAGCGTGTCACAGGTTTGCAATTAGGAGCAATCCTACATTCCCAGGTCACTTCTGAACAAGCCATAAAATCAGTGGCAACTTGGTTTTGAAAGTCAGTGTTCCACTCGAGGCACGGAGCTTTGGGAAGACAACACACAAGTGTGAATTGTGAGCTTCTTATTCCGTTTTCTAAGAGTGTGCTGCCATCTAGTGGCTAACCCTTCCATTGGGTTGCTGGATTTTTTAGTCTTCTGGCTCTGTTCTTTCGTTGAGGAAATGCAGGATTTTTATTCAACTCCCCTAATGAGCATTCTGTATTGCCCATCTACGGATATAGTTATTAGATGGACTAAAACCGTTGAGAAAGAAATGCTACTCGTCAGCACGCTTCAGCGGGACACAGTAACGCACTTCAAACACCGTAGACGAGAAGCAGGTCGTTTGAAACCCATTAAATGTTATCAGTAGCTACATTGCGCTCCCGTTTATAGATCCCCAGGGTAAGTAATGAAAATACTAAATGGAGAATCCTGGTTTTAACATTAAAAGAAAAAACAACAACCCATGTTATGGGTGGTGTAGGGGAGAGAAGGCGACCGCTGTGCTTTTACTATTTCTGCCCTTTCAAAATGAACTAAAGGGCTTCCACGTTAGTCACTTGTAGCAAAAGAAGCTATAAACTGTGACTCACCTTGGTCAATAGAGTGCTGAGGAAGCTGGCTAAGCTGGCTATTCACTACGCCTGCGTACGTCCGCAAGAACTCCTCTTCGCTGCTGGTTAACTGGAAAAGGGCACAACCAAAAACCCAGTTAGGCAAAACAAAGCAGCTGGAAGATCAAGTCTCTGCCCGCTTGCTTTTTAAGTTGGCGGCAACTTTATTCACGTATTTATTTTTATTTATTTGTATCCCACCTTTGTATTTCTGAAGATAACTCAAGGCGGAGAATATACTCATTGTCACAGCTGCCTCTCTCCTATCCAAGCTTCATGAGCTGACAGCCTGACATTAGCAGGGGGGGGAGGGAAAGATTGGGATGTAATGAGGGAAAAAAGGGGGGAGCCGGCCAAATTGTGAGAAGCTTCAGCTTCTCAGTTATCGGTATGCAGAGCTGGGGACAGAAAGCCTGTTTCCTACACAATATACAAGCACTGATTGGACATTTACAGATAACAGAGGGATGGAGGGAGGAGAGGAAAATTTACTTTGTATTGTTTGTGTGGGAAAACCTCAGATTCAGCTTCACTACTCCTGTAAGCACTTAAGCTTCAGTAAAGTATATTCGTGGCAAAATCAAATGGCCAGGAGTCTTTCTTTGCTAGATGACTGAGTGGGATGGTTGACATTTATTCTCTTTCCTCCATCTATTTTCCCACAACGACAACTCTATGAGGTGGGCTGGGCTGAGAGAGAGAGAGGAGCTGGCCCAAAGTCGCCCAGATAGTTTTCATGCCTAAAGTGGAACCAGTTTCTAGCCTGCCTTAACCACTAGACCAGGGGTAGGCAACCTTGGCTCTTTGATGACTGGTGGACTTCAACTCCCACTTTCTAACCTGCTGCCTTAACCACTAGACCAGGGGTAGGCAATCTTGGCTCTTTTATGACTCGTGGACTTCAACTCCCAGAATTCCTGAGCCAGCCATGCTGAGTGGAAAGGGAGAGGTTTCCAAGCTGAGCCATGCTGGCTGAGGAATTCTGGGAGTTGAAGTCCACGAGTCATAAAAGAGCCAAGGTTGCCTACCCCTGCACTAGACCAAATGGGCAAAAAAATTGCACCAGTAGCACAGGGAATGACCCTCCAGATATTGAAAACATTGATCTAATTTATCTATAACGATTGGGATTAATATTGCTAATCTCTTAAAGTTGGTGGGGATTATAGAGTGATCATCTCAGAAATAACGAAATAAACCCTTTGGCAGCTTGCAACACATAAAAAAATTGTCTTCCAGAAAGTCAGCAGAGTAAACCTGGTCAACCAGAAGATGAAAAACCCAGGCTATTAATAACGCTTACGAGCTCACGGCATGGATACGTACGTTTGATCCCATCTTTCTAAGCATTAGCAGGACTCTCACTTTCTGCTGAATGTACATCTCCTCCGGACTTTTCCCAGGAACAGCCTCACGGTTCATTCCCTTTTTTCCAGTTTTGAAGACTTCTGAAGAGAGGACAAGACAGCAGTATTTACTATATTTGATTAATCCTGGGGATGGGGAGAGACTCTGCAGTGCCAACTGCTAACAGCACGCTTTGCATGCCCTTCCGTTTGGTGGAACATGTTGTCACCTGAGTTCATGGGATGTTCTTTGTATGGGGAGAACGTTCGGAAGTTAGATGACTTTTAGTAGATCCTGCAATAAGCAGGGGACTGGACTAGATAACTTTTTAAGATTCCTTCCACTTAAATGATTCCATAACACAGAAATAAGTCCTCTTTTTCCTTCTACTCACTCAAAACAAGACACACATTTAGGGCTTCCAAGCTATTTGCTGCCACTTTCCCAGCTCCACAGAGTAACAACAAACTCACCAGAGTACTTGATTGTGATCTGCTAGCCTGGAAATGCCACAAACAGCAACCCTGTGAGAACAAAGCAACAGATTTTTAATAGACACCCCAAAACTAGTTCTAAATAGGTTAAATATCCCGCTTTGGTTCAAGTCTCGCCTGGTGAAAAAAATGCAAGTTGTTCTCTACCCCGTGTTTGAACATTAGCTCTAATTAGTTTTTGTTCTTTTAATGTTAAATTAAACGTTTCAGCTCCTGGAGGAAAACTTCTGTCTTCAAAAAAACGGCAGGACAATTAAAAGAAAAAGAGTTCATTTGGTGGTAATAAAAGTAGTTGAGCAGGAAGAAGGGGATGCCTATTTTAATGAAAGCTGTTTTACAACAAGGAAAACTGTTTTGTTCAGAGTTGCTTCACAAAGCTGATAAGACACACGGGCTGCAATGCTTCTCAACATGTATCTAAACACATTGGTAAATCCATAATAATTTTAGCGACAACCAAAAGGGCATAATGTGTGCAGTCCACATAAGGTGTGTTTCCATTCTCAGCCCAGTATCCTAGAAGATTAATGCTTTCCTTTCTCCAAGAAGGGAAGTTCCTGAAGTAACAGAAAAAGATAAAAAAACTTGCTAGATCTGTTTATATAACATGCTTAATCTCACTACCAAACTATACATTTTCAGGGTTCAGACAACCTACTAAACTATAAACAAATTTGTAGGACTGTTAGATATAGGCTTGGCCTAATGGTCAACAGCTACAGATATACAATGCCAAATTATGGCCGGCCTTGTTGCCATCCACCAGACAAGTGAACAAAATTGGTGGGTGATATGGAGCTACCCTAATCATCAGATGAGGCCTGCTTTTAATGGTCCCATTTCACAGATGCAGATGGGAGCTCACACACAGTACTAAAGCACTTCTCTGAAAATAAACATTTATTATTAATATCATAACTGCGCCATCCAACTCTCATGACTCTGGATGGCGAGTAAAAACTCCCCGCACAGTTTTAATCCACCCATTTGCATAGGCAAAATGCTTTGATACTCGTTTCCTACAAGGAGGACTATTTTACAACTACGGCATATGCAGCCTGAAGTAGTTAAAGTCAGATACATCAAAGGCTACATTGAAATCCCAGACAAAATTAAAACCCTTACATTACATGTTTCAGCTTCAGAAGGTTTTGTGCCATGTTGAGAGGTTTTTGTCCCAGTAGGGATTTGGGGATTTTTCCCTGTGGCTAACACAGATAATCTGATTTTTTTTTTATTTGTTTGTTTCAAGCGAAGCCACAAAACTTTTAGCACTGTTAACTATAAAGCAATCCCATGGCTGGGATTTAAGTGACGGGGCTTAATGCATTTTATCCTCTCCCCCCCACCCCCCATGAAGCTGGCTACAAAGTAAAACTGGCATTTTCCTGCAAAACTACTGCTCCTTCTAGAAATGTTCATGGCACCAGGAAAAAAGAATTCACACGGTTTCTCCCATAGACATTTTGCTTCATGGAAAGCAACAATCGGATTCAAGCACACACACTCACAACACAATAAAAGTTATGAAATTTAGAAGCACACGGCTACATAAATAAGTAAGCAATTACCCAGAGAACTTCATCTGTAATTACTGATCAAGTAATCCTTTTTTATTCGTGTGAGTGACGCGGTATTATCTTCCTTATGCAACTGGCTGTGAAGGAGTTGTTGTTGTTTTTTTAATCTCCAGCATTTTACAAGTGAAGCTTCACGTTTCAGTTAAAAATAGAAAAAGAATAGTTAGCTTCAACTATCAATGAACGGCATTGCCCAAGGACCTGGACCTGGATATTTTGAAGGGAATATTGGATGTGTACACTGTCAATAGTGATGTCCTAGGAGCAACCAACAATGTTTAAAAAGACAGCTGTACAACAGCTGATCCACCACCAAGGGCTGTGACAATGTGCACTGCCCGTCTAAACTAATAAAAAAAAAAAATCACACACACAGTGCTGGGTTGTTTTCTCAAGCTATTACCCCAAGATTAAAGAAGATTAAACCTTCACAGGGCCTTTAATAGTTACAATATGCTTATACTTATAAGGGCATAATAAGAACTGCAGCCTTCTTGTTATACAAGAAAATTTGTCCAATAAACACTGGAGCATTGAAATCAGAGCTCACTTGTCTGCCCTCCTGATAGATTCCCCCCCCACCCCCCATTCTTTCAGTCCGATTCGTGACCTTGAACCACAAGCAGACCGAGACTGAATTAATTCACAATTCTATAGGGGTGCCCGCAATGCAGAATGCACACAGTTGTCCATTTATAAGCGAACAGTAAAATCCGGGCGTTTTAAAAATCACAAGCTTGTTTCTACCATGTTTCCAAGGCCTACTTTAAATTTTAGACAAAGTATGCACAGTTCTCTTTTTTTTTTTAAAAAAAAAAAATCGAACTAGCAGCTCTTAACCCTACTTTAAAAAAAATGTTTCAATCCAAAACAGGAAAGTGCTTCATTTCCTGGATACGATCCTTGCATTCTCATAGCTTTTGTCATGGAAGATGTTGACGTACGGGGAGAATGATGATGCAATTAATTCTAGAACCCCCCTTAAGTAATTTTGTTGGATCAGACAGAGACAAGATACCTATGAATTCTTGTTATTATTCTCTTCAGTCACCAGTCCTTAAATTATATGCGGGCTATTATTTATATAAACGATTATCTACACCATTGTATTCCAGGTCAATCAACTGATGTTTCTGGCCTTCTTCAGGTTAGTATTAATTCCCTTCCAGGTCAGGAAACAGGAACTGTTAGGAATCTTGGAAAGTTTGCTTAATATGCTCAAATGATTGTAACAGAATATGGAAAGCTTTGCACAACCCAGGCCCAGAACTCAAAATACCTTTTCTAGAAAAGCTCGCTATTGTCCTCATTTTCCGAGTCAAATCAATATTCCGTCGTAATTCCAGATAGGAAAAATGAAATTTCATTACACCTTCAGGCTTAAAAGTTGAAGCTGTTGCAGATAGATAAACCGTTCAGCCGTTAAAACCATACAGCTCGGTGGCATTTCAAGCAGGTCACATGGTATTTAACTGCTGTTGGGTTTTGTCAATAAATATTCTTAATAACTGCATTTGTGTTAGTTTGTTACAAATATATTTTCTTATTCTGCAAGTTATTTTTTTTATTGTACATAATGCCAAAAAATCAAATTATTTTTAACCGCAAGAAAAGCTCGTGAAGTAGGTCACAGTCCCCCTGTTATTTTCAAAAGTAAAAATTCTTATTTTTGACTAAGAACTGATATGGATAACTGATTCCATAACATACTTTGGGATGTAAGACCAGAGTTAATGAGAGAGAAGTTAACCTAACTTTGCTCATCTAAATCTATATGCAGGCATTATACAAGAATCTGAATAATGGCCCTGATAAGTGACTTATCTGAAAAGATTTAGTAATCTAGAAATGGCCCTGATAAGTGACTTATCTGAAAAGATTTAGTAATCTAGAAACACAATCACACATCAGAGATAAAAATAACCACGTGCAAGACATTTAACTGTTAAAACTCTCCAGTGATGTAACTGAAGCTAATCTTGTCTACAACAAAAATAATTAAATGAATGCAGAGAAATAGGATTTCACAATGAGGGGTGGGTGGGGTTTTTTGGGGGGGCAGGGGTAATATTAATATTTCTGCAGGATCCAACCTGGGTTGGTCACGGGGACTAGAGGCTTAGTCTTCTGAACTTTTGGACTTTTTATCCCAGGACACATATATTTGCCTTCATTCGTTAATATTTCTCTCTTTTACAAGCCACCTGTAATATTTATGTTTGGGTACCTCAGAGTTGCTTTCAAATGACATTTTAATCATGACAACTTGAGAAGCTGCTACAGAAATGGCAAACCAGTCCTGTTCTGCTTTCCCAAAGCAACTGGCAACAACTATAGTTGCTCATTAATATATGACATATTACTAATCAAGCCAAAGTTTTAGGGGGGAAAAAATCAGGTATTTGTTGAAAAGAAGAGTTAAACACAAGCTCTTAAGGAAATGTTAAAAACGACTGCCAGTACTTGATGTGAACAGTCGAAAGACAAAATTCAATAACTTGCGTTTTGCCTTAAAAACCCCTATGTAATTTTATTTGTGGACAAATTGTTCCGTCTTTCCTGAAATTGTTCAGACAACAGTACAAAACATATTCCTAATTCTAAACTATTAACGCTTCACGTACAATATCTAGTTGCTCCAAAACTAGCTCCCAATTTCCTTACAAAATCAGCAGCAACTGCAGTATGTTGACACTGTTAAACAAAACAGGAAGCACAAATCACTTCTAATTTCCCACAAGAGGTTGTTAAGCTCCGTGGAGCAAGCTCTGCATTGTCATTTAATACATGGCCAGGAAGGAAATGTGTTATCCACAAGACTAAGGTGTGAGATTCTGAGTTAATCTGCAGACTGCAAGTTTGTAATCTGTTTTATAAAAACTAGGCTGTAACTATAAAACAGGGAAGGAAATGTCCTCAGCAGGATAGAGCTGATTTCCTTTCTAGACAAGGGTTAAATGTGAAACTTCTTTGCAATAAAAGAGTTAATAAACCTATGGTAACAAAATGGCCTG